TAAACCAGAGTTGAGAAAATCCAAAATGGGTTTATTTTTATTAAGTTAAAAGTGGCATGTTTGGTTTAAAGGAGAACGTGTCAGCATGCCAAAATATTTCAAATAAGGATAATGGGAGAAATGAAAAATCGTTACAATATTTTTGTATTTAGTAGGCCATTATCCACCATTATTTCCTGTGTTTAAATAATGTGCAGATGGGCCTTGCCTTTACTGTATCTGACCATGCCTTCTCAGGTGATGACTCCGCAAGGAAGAGGCACTGTAGCAGCTGCTGCCGTGGCTGCTACTGCCAGTATTGCTGGAGCTCCAACTCAGTACCCGCCAGGACGGGGGACCCCACCCACACCTGTAGGCCGAGCCACCCCACCTCCAGGTAAGGGATTGATAAACAAGAAGAAAAAGAATTTGGTCCTTACGCAAAAGGTCTGGGTCTGTGAAGAGATTGTATCTTCTTGAAGGGATGACTAAAATGCCCTCAGCTAATAAGATACTGAATTACAACTGGTCTAAGTTGGAATACGTTTCCCACTTTTGAATACTAGTGTTTGATGAGAAGCCGTGGACTCAAAATTTTGAGTTCTGGTGGTTTACCAGTGTTGTGGTTCAAGGAGAAATTAATCAACTCTCTAATTTGGTGTCTGGGCCCATTTCTTCAAGTACGGTCTTAAGTCTGTCTTAGTTGAGCCTTTATTTCTGCCACTTTTCTAGGCATAATGGCTCCTCCACCTGGTATGAGACCACCGATGGGCCCACCAATTGGGCTTCCCCCTGCTCGAGGGACACCAATAGGCATGCCCCCTCCAGGAATGAGACCCCCTCCACCAGGAATTAGAGGTGAGTGGGTATACATGTGTCAGTGGTGCCAGCCAGGTCCCTGAATATGTTGTTTTTCTAAGGGTGTCATGGAATTTTGCACTTTAAAATTATTTTAACTGAAGTATAGTTCACATACAATATTACACTGATTTCAAGTGTACAGCATAGTGGTTCAACAATTATATATGTTACAAATTTTGCTTTTTTTTTCCAGGTCCTCCTCCCCCAGGAATGCGTCCACCAAGACCCTAGGATATTGTTGATCATTCTTAATCACTTTTTTTCCTGCAATGAGTCTTGTGAAACTGTGTTGAGTGTTTGTGAACTTTGTCCCCTCTTGCTGCATTAATATTAGCTAATAAATGCATAGAGTAATTAAACTGTGAGGTACTGTTGTACATTTTTTGCCTATTGATTTTTTGATGTCAGAGTGAAGACTAGGATTTTTCAAGTCTTGAAGTTATTATGGATGAAGTCAATCCTGGTTAAACAATTCATTTAAATAATTTTCTCTTATTTCTTAAAATGGTTGTGATATTTGGTTATACTTCCTTTCATTTTGTGCTTTTACTGATCTTAGTTAATAACTTTTTACACATAAGGAAACTCTTGGCCCTGGGGCCTAAGTGGTCAGGCTGAGACCCACACAATGGCCTCTTCCATTGCCATCCATACCTGAAAGGAAGTAGGGATAGGATGAAAGGCCCCGTAAGGCCAACTATGGAAAGAAACTATGGCCCTGAATTCAGACTTGGATCACTAAATCAAAGCATTTGGAGTAGGAGGTGTTCCTTTTCCTTGGGATTTCACCTCAGCCGGTCAGCTTCTGCAGTGCTCTAGGGCCTTGTGTGATCAGAGTAGGTGACGTGATCCTGGAATAATCATCGTTCCCTGCCAGTGAGTAAGTACTTGCATACTTAGACTTTTCTCAATGAATGGCAGAACCTGGGTCCTGGGGGCCAGGGGGATCACATATCTAAGTTGTGTTACTTAAAGATAACATACACCCTAAAATATAGTTGACACTCTTAAGTACAAATTAAATGCAGCTGCATTACTTAGTGGCAGACATACTTTATGTTTTCAGAGTAGAAAATCTCTTCCAGTAAAATAGTTATGGAATGCCCAAATATCTAGGTCCAGTTTGAGTTGGTTATGGACCAGTGAAAATTACTTTTAAGAGGGAGAGGGAGAAGCTTTCTAGGTTTTACTGCTAAGATTTCAACTAGGCAGTGAATGGAGCCTTACTGATTGTAGAAATTAGCTTGTAAAATACTATAGTTAGAAATTGGTGTTAATTTATTAATAGCCTAAGACTGGTAAACTGATTGTGTCTTCTCAGATTTTACCAACAGAGGTTGTATGTATGTCACCTTTTCCATCATGGCCTTTCAAGTAGTAATCTCCCAAAGAAAAGAGAACTTCAAAATGACTAGAATTGCTGTCACCAGATTTATATGGTATTCCCAGAGTACTTTCTAGGATTGATTACCATGACCAGGTAAGGAACATAAAGTTGGCAAAGCCTTCCTTGTTTTTAGGAGATATATATAACACAAGTGTGATAATTTTTTCAGAGATAGTAAACATTACAAAGAAACTTACTGGGTACCAGAATACCAGGCAAAGCATTTTTTCTTGATCTCTGGAGGCAAAGCCACTCTTATGAACAAAGAAACTTACTGGGTACCAGAATACCAGGCAAAGCATTTTTTCTTGATCTCTGGAGGCAAAGCCACTCTTATGAAATAAAATTGACTCTTAGATAGACACTTGCTCCTTGAAACTGTGTGGGTGATAAGTATAGAGCCTTGCTTTCTACAAGTCTGCTCTCTGGACTAATTTCAAAAAAAATTTGTGCTATTTTTTTGTTTGGGGAAGGAAAATACTGCTCCTCACTTAAATCTGTTGGCAGGATGGCCCTCAGATTTTAGCATGAGTTTTCATGCAGCGTTATTTAAAGAAAACTTGCTGTATAATTAATTAACTTAAAAAAGCCTCTTACAAATCAAAGGTGAGTGGCAAGAACTCTTGAGGTTCAGGAAGATGCTTGCTTCTAATGGCTCTTTTGGTATGGTGATAATACTATTCTTATCTGCTTGGAACTTCTTGAACCTTTTGAGAAGCCCAGATTGTGGAACATATACTAAAAGACAACTTGGGACACAGCCATATAAGTAATTGCATATAGGGTGTGAGATAAGTGTATGGACCTTGTGCTTTGGATTGCTAGATCTAAGTTCTGCAGAGTTCCTTTGGGGACACATGTCAGCATTCCAGCTCTCAAACATTCATGGCAGTGAATACTTGATGTCCCTTAAACATTTTCCTACATTCCTGCATTCAAATTTGTTACATGTTTGATCTAAAGCATGTTTGGGGAATGAGTTCCTGGTTTCCTGGTTACATTTATTAACTCAAATATATACATACTACATATCAATATACGATTTCATTGGGGGTTTAAAGACAGCTTCAAATTGAATTCATGGATTTGATAGTTATGGTACTTGAAACCTTTGCTTTTGACTTATTTGTAGTCTGTTTTTAGATAGTAAACTGTACTTGGTATAAGAGCATGTCAGAAGTCATACAGTGCCCTGCCTTCACAAATTCATTGGTCTTCAGTGTCAAATTTTAGAAGTACTGTAATTTTTCCTGCTGACTTGATACATAATTGATAAGTAACGTGTAAGTATAACGTGTAAAACATGCTTTTGATATCCATACCTGTTGTGGAAAGATAACCACAATAAGGTTAGATAGTTAACACATCCCATCACCTAACACAGTTAACATTTTTTTTTCTTTTGGTGAGAACTTTTAATATCTACTGCCTTAGCATATTTCAAGTATACAGTATGGTATCAACTATAGTCACAATACTGTATAGTAAATCCCTAGAACTTACTCATCTTAAAATTGGAAGTTTGTACCTTTGACCAACATCTCTACATTTACCCTTAGTAGCCCCCGGCAGCCACCATTGACTGTTGCTAAGAGTTCAACTTTTTTACATTCCATGTAACAGCAGAAGTTTTGTAATTTCTCTAAACCTGGTGTTTTGTTTCTTGTAGGTATTTGCACAAAAATTAATTATTTATGAAATGTGGTACTAGCTATATTTGTGTAGAATTTTCATAATCTTGTTTCAAAGATCAGAGAATAACACTTCATTGAGTTCATTTTAAGTAAAACTTTTATTGATTTCAGCAAGTAGTCAATCACAGCCTCTACTATAGCATATGAAATGTTCAAATACATGTTGCCCAACTGATAATACATTACCAGATTCTGCCTTACTCATCTTTGCATTCTAGTTTCTTTGGCACTGGCTGCACATAATGCTTATATACTCAGTGTTTGTATTTTGTTAAATAAATAAAACTGCTTGTTATCATTGTTTTTTTATTTTGTATTGCAACTTTTTCAGTCTCATGCAGTGCCTTTTTTGCCCATATAACTGGAAGAGGAGAGAGTTTGATCACTGAATTATCTGACATGTCAGTGTGGATCCTCCTCAGTAGTATCGCAACAAGGCTGAAAATCCTGTCAGCTGCATTTAGGACAGGAACCATTCCAGGTAAAATCACCTTATAAAGAAGAGTATGAGTATATTGTAGAGGCCTTGGCTAGGTTCATGATGACACAGGACCTTGTCTGAACATAATGATTTTGCAATTTGAGCTTAAAATGACACTGAAATCCAGTCAATGTGCCTCACTAGATAGACTTTTTAGAGAATATTATTTTCAGTAGAAAATTTGGCTTGCATGTGAAGACTGAATTAGGAGTGGCAGGTGTAATAGTATATATATTTCATTTGTTTTTTATTTTCAGAGGTATTCTGAGCTAATTTTGTTCTTTTTTTAAAAAAACTATGTGCTGTTGAAAGCAAAAAAGGAAGCTCATCCTTGAATCCCAGGAGGCACAGACATGTGGTGAGATGGAAGCAAAGATATGTGAAAAGGAGACGACCACCTCTAGAACTAGGATGCCAGAGTTCTAGGTGTCTAACTGATGTCTCAGAAATAATGGAACTAATATTCATAGATATGTTTTAGGAAATGCATTGAGTGTGGTGAGTACCTTCATGTGGATCCTGTTGGTGTCTGAAGATGACTTACTTTGTGCTTTTTTTTCTTCAGTTGCCTGCAGTTGATCAACAGGTATATATAGCCTGTCACACAGTAGATACTAAAGAAGTGTGGCAGCATTACTCATTTTTTAAAATATTAGAATATAAGTTTTTAGATATTTTATAGTTACTCTTGTATAGTAGATTACCTGTCATTAGAATCAAATAGGCCTGATGTGTAACTTCATACTCTTAACACTTTGAAGTAGGAAGGTATTTGTAGATAAGGGTCAAACTATTCAATGTTTACCAGGACTTGTTTTAGTAAAGTGAAAGTACTGTGTCATGAAGCATATTTGTGTGGGTATTTTTTAGTCATTTTTGGTCAAAAAATGGAAATAAAATACGCTCTTTTGAGTTCACAGGGCTGAGACCACCTCCCTTGCTTAGTGAGAAGGCCTAGCAGAAGAGCAGTATTGGACAGTTCAAAAATGTTTGTTTAGATGTAAATGTTGATAAAAAGCTTCAGGTGTCAACACAGTAAGTCCATTTCTGCTAACAGTGAGTAGACAGTGTAGGGTGCGGCAGCTGGTTGTTGGCAACAGTGTACTTAATCTTCTCAAATAGTAGATGAACCAACCTCAGGGACGTTCCCCCTTATACTAAAAGGGGATGTGCCATCTGGTGTCCTCCGGTGGCAGGAATGCAGACTACAGGAGATGGTTCTAGTTCCTTCTACACTCAGTATCATCGTAGTTAGGCTCGGGAATTCACCTTGCTTACGTAATACTTCCTTGCCTATGATTTAGGAATTTATAATGTGGAAATGAAATAGTTAATTGAAGACTTGGCTGAATTAGTTTCCTTTGGTGAGCAAAATTAATCTTAAAACTTAGGTAAGGTGGCCAAGATTAAAGCAAAAAACCTCATAGCTCAACTAGATGTTTGGTGATTATGAACCATTTTGTATTTGAAACAGCTGATGAGGATAGCATATGACCCAGAGGTGTTAGATATTTGTACATCTGAATTAATTGGTACTTTGTTCTCATATAAAATCCATTTGTGCAGCTATTTACAGAATTCCTTGTCTGTGACCACTTGTGCTATGATAGCCAAAATAAAGGGAGAAAGATACAGTTCCTAATACCTAATATTTTATGTCTATTAGGAGCCATCTATCAGGAAATATAGTGTGTGTTCTATTGATAAAATTTGGATTTTGTTACCATAACACTATGGTTCTTTGTATCAGAGATGTTAGAACTTAGCATAGACCACCTTCAGAATCCTCAAATGTGGTGTTTCAATAGACCTGTGGTTGGACTTTGTGCTTCATCTATTTGATCTGCTTTATTTTACTTGACCATTCTCATTGAATCTTCTGTAGTATTTTTTTCACTTATATCTGGGATATTTTGGTGGATATTTTCAGTATAACCTAGGTCCTTAAATTGGTTTATAAATTGTTGGGGGAAATAGGACATTGCTGATCTTAATTTGATCTTGATATTAAATCTATGCTGGGTATTATTTAATATTTCAAATTGAAATATGTCAGATAATATTTTGTGGAAGTAGATTATAAACTTTTAATAGTTATGGTACAGCAAAGATCTCAAAATTATTCTGGCAGATTGCTGGGAGTTTTATTCTTTGATATTTATCCCCCTAATTCTATGTAAGTTGAATGATAGATACTACTGCCATTTAACTTGTGTTGTTACTAAAGATAATCATTCATTGTCCCAAACCAAGAGACCTTTAGTTAGCAGAGGTGTTCTGTCTGCACGTGTTAATCCCTTTACAGAGTTGTCCTGGTTGTTAGGAGAGACCTTGGCTGGATTTATGATGAGTTATGTTTGCTGAGCATAAGTGAAGCTCAATGTGAGTGCTCTGAAATCCAGCCTCAGTGTCAATCCAAGGACTTGGAATACAATTTTTCCTAACATGAGTTCTTAGACTGTATATTTCACAGGGTTTTCCCAGTCAGTGTGTGCAGGTTAGGGACAACAGAGCTATAGTTTTTTGCCCAGTGAAATAGAGGAAGGTGAACTTTAAATTCACTACTACACTTTCCTTTGGTAGAGTATTTTCTGTGTAGCATTATTATATCTCACATTTATCTTTTTAATTATACATTTCAAATAATAACTTGAAAGGTTATCAACTTTATAAATTCAAAGGACTTGGAAGCTACTATACTGTTGTTCTTCTTTTCCATTACAAGTATCACTCAACTTCAACCTTGTACCAGTCAGTTTCCTGAGAGCATGTCTCCAGACTCTGGGAGGCAACTCCTTTACCACATAGGTAAGAAATTGCTAGTTTGTTGTTGAGGTACTGCTTTGGTCTAAGATGAGATTTATAGTTTTAGCAGAATGCTGAAGTTATATTCAGAGGGATTACTCTAATTCTTAGTAAGTTACCATGTTCTATGTCTTTGCAAGACATAGATGGACAGATACAAGTTTTGTCTCTTGTGATTCAAGGGGATGAAACTGGTGTTTTGCATGTATTTATACTGAGCCCTAGAATAAGGAACAGATTTGCTAAATAGCATGCATTTTTCAAATTAGATCTTTAATCCCACATTATTCTTCAATATTTAGTTTTATTTACATAAATAATGGATCTGTGGTTATCTGTGAATGACATTCTATGATTCAGTGCTTGTTATTTTCTGATAGTAAATTGTGAGGGGGTTGAGTAGTAATAAACAGGTAATTCAGAAAAACCGTAAAAAGGTACCATGGACCATTGAATATGCCAGGGTCTTATCTTTAATCATCTTAATTTGTTAAGAGGGATGTGTGTTCGTGTTTATGTGTGAATAAGTAAGTGGTGTAGGTGTTGATACTGTGACAAGTGACTAGTTTATAGTGAAAAGTTGTTAGGGTTCAGAAGAATTCTTTTTAAATTAAGGTAGACAAGACTTTTCAGTTCTTTCCCTTACCAAGTTCCTGTTTTCCTGCTAGAAATTTTAGTATATTTGTAACTTCTCAGATTGTATGGTTTCTCTCAGTGTTTCTGATACTAGCTGGTTAGGGATATGCTGAGTAATTGAAACAGGTGAGCTACCCTTTCTGTTAGTGAATTAGGTAAGAAACATACAATTGAGAGAGAAAAGGAAGGAATGAGTTTGGGGTTTGTTGAGGTGTAGTGTTGACTTGAGGGTCATTTGATCAGTTACTGCTGGAAAAAAGGATGCAGTGGTACTACTGGCTCAGGTCCTTCCAAATAACTTCATTCATGAGGTGCTGCTTCTTTATAGGTGACCTAAAGAAAATCCCTTTTAAGCATGAGTTTTGTTTGTTTTTTGTTTGTGGTGAGGCCTGGCTTGATGATCAGACTGACTGTTTCTTGAACTTAATGACAGTGTTCATTCCTACAAGGAAAATCTGAGGTCCATCCAAGCTGATTAATGATCAGAGCTTTTTGGTGAGAAAGTAATGGAAGGAATGAGTTAACAGTAGATGGTGAGCACATTGGTGGATGAAAAGAAGATAAGAAGGAAAAAGGCACAGTTTAAAGTGACTGTAGCATGTCTCTATGTTGTCCAGGTGTGAAGAGACATAAATTGAGAGTGGTGTCAGGACTGTTTGAATTGTTTCAATAGGAAAGTTGCCCTGTTTGAATATTGGAAGGGTAGAGAGAGGGTAAGAGTCAGAACTTCCATTTACCTACTACTTTGTGTTTAACTTCAGCATATGGGTGTCAGCCAGCTTTGCCATTTTAGGTTCTGTGTCCTTTCGTGAGTTGATGATTGTGTAGGCAGTGTACGTCTACTTTTGAGATTATTGTGATTAGCAGGATGTGCTGATCAAGTGTCTTTTCTGCTGTGGTTACTGGGATGGGTAGAGTTGTACATTATGAGGCAGCTTAGAGTAAATCAAACTTCTTATACTTTGGTACAAGTAAGAATCACCTGGAATATTGTACAGTTTGAGCTGGAGTTTCCAATAGAACAGTAGGTATAGGTCAGAGCAGTTGACAGATAATGACACGTAGAGAACAACTGAGTTTTATTCAGAATGAACTATTTATTTTTCAAAAGTGCCATTATATGAATGCTAATTTATATGAATATGCATAACATAATATCATGATATAGAATGTTCATATATAACAAAATGGCAGGAAATTTGGAAAGAATATTGTGTTATATATTCAAGTCAAGACAAAGTACTGTATTATTTTCTTGCAATATTAGAACAAAATAAGAATGACAGTAGCCACTGGGATCAAATGCATCAGAGGACAACACATTCCTATAGTTTCTTTGAGATGTGAATCCATGTATCTTAAAAGAACAAATCGTTAACATACATATAAGTTACATACCTCCTTTGAGGAAACAAGTTTTTAAAATAATTTTTCCTAATAATGAATCAACCACTCCAATTTTACTAAGTTCACTTTGGATAAAAATGACCAGTAAACAAAAATTACCAGAAATCAGTTTTTTTTAAACATTAAGAGTAGATGTGATAGTATGTCACCTAGACATGGTGATTTCTGCTTAATGCTTACACTTTTGGAGGAATGTTTATCTGTTTTGTCTGTGTTAGTCACCGAACTATGCTTACTTTGAATTACTTTGCATTGAGACATATGTTTTGTTTTATTTTAAGCATCCATTTCTGGATCTTTTTAATGGCATTACCAGTGCATTTCTGGGTGTTGAGTGTAGGAAATACTGTTTTCTGGGCTAAGTTCAACATAGATAAACAACTTCGCTGTAAACACTCTAGTCAATTTGGTTATTGAAATTGAGTTACTGATTTATTTTCTAATGATGCTTTTCTATGGAAATAGTGTCATAATGGAATGTTGACTTTTATTTAAACTTTGAAAATTAGCTGTGTAAGTTGCTTTCTCTCCAGGTTTGGAAGCGCTCCAGGTTTGGAAAGAGAATAGACCTACAGATACAGTCAGAGTCAATCCCTCTGCTAGAGGAGCTGGAGAAATAACCCAGACTTGAAATGGAAGACTTCTGTGGCTTGGGCTGAATAAAATAATAAATCAAAGGATTTTTTAAGTTATGATTTATGAATTTATGAGAGTAAGTTTTTGCAATGATGCTGGTTTTCTTATTTTTGTAGGAAGGCAGAAAATTGGGGGCATTGTATTCTAATTATCTTTCTCATAATGTTTAAATGTGTAACCTTTTCTAGTGAGCTTGGCTGAATATCATGGCTTTGAGTTTTAAATACATTTGGTGTTTTCTTCATTGAATTATGGTCCTAAGTGGTGTCAAGGTACCAATAGAAATATTCCTTCCTTGAAAAATTGCTGCAGGCACAATGAAGAAACTTTCATAAAAGTCTTGATTTACTGAATAACATTTTTGTTCACCTAAGATTGTAACATGGCAAAATTTGTAAAAATTGATTACCAGAAGGCATAGACTGACTTTTCTGATAATGTTCCTTTATGGTGAAATTGAAACATGGCTGACCAGAAGTGTTTGTGTCTTTATTACTGTTCTCTCTCCAAGGCCTTGCATAATAATTGGCATATAGTAGGTGTTTGATACATAATAATTTTTGTTAAATTGGCATATTGTTACCACAGTAAATGGTGAATCAGAACATGACTAAGAAAAAGATACAAGATAATAGGCAAAATTTGGCTTCCATTTTAACTGCAATTTTTCTCATTCTTTGTAAGAGTTTGAGTCAAGAAACAAGGGCATTTTATTGTGCCCATTTCTGGGAGCAGGGACTTGCAGTGCTTATTGTCCTAAACTAATCTTGCATATTATAACATCAGTTAGAATTATACTTAGATGCTAATGCCAAATTTTGAGTTGGAGCCCTGGTGGAAAGAGGAAACCATGCCCCTTAAGATTGGTCTCCTCCTATTGGATGCTCGCCTCTGTTTCAGTCTGGCTCACTGGAGAGTAAATCTATGTTGGCAATCTATATGTGTGTGCATTTGAACTTGCCCTTTGTGCTTTGTTGCTTTATGCAGATCTCTTCAAATAAATCAAGAGGGAAATGTTGAGTATGTGACAAACTACATGGTCACATAAAAATATATGAAAATGCATCTCATCTAGGTTAGCAAAATATTTTGATTACTTGTTCTTGTGGGTCTTTTAATATATGTAAACATCTGCAATTCTGTAAAAGAAAAGACTAAGCAATTATTTGTAAAATGGCAAAAACATAAGGATAATACAAAGAAGAAGATACTAGCAAGTAAACCTATTAAATACCTCAAACTCAATCATTGACATTCTTTAAAACCACCATAGGGAATATTTGACTGTCAGTTATACCAGAGATGTACCAAAGGTGATGCCAGTGAGAAGAAGAAGTATCTGTCATTCATGGATGTGAATTGAGCCTAAGTAAGTTGGACAAGGATTTCAATGAGAAACAAAGAAAATTTATTGCATGATAGCAGCTGCTGTTCAGACTCCATTAGAAGGCTGTTCCGGAATCACCTTTCTGACTGAGAGTTTTATCATCCAACTATAATAATAAACTCCTAACTCACCTCCTAACTGGTCTCTTTAGTGTGGCTTCAGATTCTTTAATGCATCTGTCTAGGTTATAGCAATCTTTGGGAAAGATTGATGAACCCTGTCATGTTTCTTCATACATCTGAAAGAGTGCTAGAAGTAAGCAATAATCAGAGAAGAGGATAAAGATTACATAAACTGATAATACTGAGAGCATCTTTTGCCACTGTCAAGACTGGAATATTTTTATGTTCACCACTGAATATTCATAAATTTTGTGACATTACTTCGCTCACCCTCTGATCCATACGAATCTCAAAACTTGTGCAGCAGGAAACAATGTGATTGCAGCCCAGGATGATTTAGGGTAGATTTTCAAACCTTTTTTCCACTAATATGGATGAGTAAGAGAGTATAGCCTGAATGACTGCCTCTGCATTGATAAAATTGTAGTTTTCAAATTCTTCTGGAGTATCTTAAACAATTTTACATTTGAACTGCTATGGAAATCTAGACCTCATGCTGGTTTAAGGGTCTTTGGCCAGGGCTACTCTCTGGATCTTCTACTCTATTCATTTGCCTGGTCTAAAAGCATCAGGACAACATCTTTCCATATTCCTTCAAAAAATGCAACTGTGTGAAGGGTATCTACTTAAGTGAAAATTATTTGAAGGGGATAAATCATGTATTGGACTAGACTGGACAATTTCAAGTAGACATAACTTGGCAGGAATATGTGGATAGAAAGAAAAACTGTATCTCAAGTTCTGCTAGAGACATCAACTACAAAAATCATAGAAAGCAAGATTTATCTGATCTGAACTGCATTTGTCCTTTAAATATTTACATTTCACTGGTAATCTTTGGATTTGGGGTGGGGGAAGTATTTTTCTTGCTATGGAGAATCATCAACTTGTTACTGCAAGATTTAACAGTTAAAGCCCTGCGTGTATGATATTTTGAATGTGTGTGTGCTCAAAAGAGGTCTTGATGTCCCTTGGTACCTCCCTCCCTGATGCATTTTATAACGGCTTGGAATCTAATCCTATTAACTACTTCACTGTACATGTATAGCTTAAGAATGTATTTAAATATTTAGAAAAATTGTGTTTGGGTAATAGTATTAAAATGGAAATATACTCAAATGATGAATGTTTATTGTCCTTAGGATGTTAGATTAACAGAATGAGATATAATATGTAAGTTTTATTTATTTGTGTAATCCTTGGGATCTAATACTCAAGCACAGAGTTCTACATTTGTAAACACCTGTTATTTGCACATACTTTTAAAAATGGCTGGTTTCCTATGGAAGTCTCTAAGAACATGTTTGGTAAATTGTCTTATGAAAGATTTTAGAAAGAAATTGAGGCCATTTTAAAAAGCTTTTTTGATTCTATATTCATTGAGTGCTTATGGACAGCAGAGAAGAAATTCGGGAATGTTTAAGGCATAGATCAGGAAAGATGGCATTAGTTTATTGCATTTTGAGAATATTGTGTATGAAATAACGAAATATAATTGCTTTGTGAGTAATGTAATTGCCAAAAAGAGTTTGCTAAACTATATAGGGGAAATATTTTAATACATGATTAGAAATAGAATTGTTAAAATACCTCTGAATGATAATACATTTAAAATCATTTGATTGGGTTATCATTGGATTATTGCTCTGGCTTTAGCAGGAGAATGGGGATTGTTTTTATAACTCACATAAAAAGTTTTATTACGATTGTTCTATGTGGATATAGGTACTATTCTGTAAATGGTTTTTATGTTAAGATTTATGGTATGAGATTTCCTTCTCATGATAGAATTGCACAAGAGGCCAACTTCTGTGAACACTTACATATTAAGGGTTTGAGTGGGCTTTTATTGTTCTGTATATAATAGAAAAAGTACTGTTATACCATCTTATCAAATATAGAGATGGTTGACATCTTTGGCATTTCAATTGTTATAATATAATTTTGTTGGTTGCTGAGACAAGTTTCTAACCTTCTTTGTCTCTATTAGGCAAATAAAAGAGCTGAATTTAGGGGATAGGGAATAGAGATTTTTAGAGGGCTCTGTGAATATGCATATGTGCAGATAGTTTCTGAACAGCCTCCCGGCTTTACTCCATGCTCAGTTGCTGAGAATTCACATATCTTATTAACAATTCTAATGTTGAATAGAGGTAGACTTTTTTCCTTTAGCCAGTAGAATTGTTAAATTCCCTCTCAACATTAATTCATTTCCATAAGATATTATTATGTATTTTGTTATAAACAATGTTATAATGTTTAATAATTTTTGTTTAAAATCTCTACATGTATAGACATTGTAGATCAAACAGCTTATTAGAATAGAACCATTTTTCTTTGCCAAAAAGAGATGTTAGTTGTAGCCTCTCTGGTTGTTCATTGGATCATTAGGTTCACTTTTTAGGTTGTGGTAAATATAATGTATAGTATCTAGTATAATCTGTCATTGATTTATGACAAGATTCTTCTAAACAAACAGAACACAGTTATTTGTATAGTGAAGAGAAATATGTACATGTGGTATAATAGCATAGGTTACAAGGGTTTTCATTTGCTAGTGGAGTTTGACTTTTAATAATTGTTCATGTTTTTAAATACTTATTTCTAGTTATATAGACAATTTATATGTTTTTATGGGGAATGTTTGCAGTGGTATATCAAACATAGATCATTAAATTGTTGGCTAATAAAAGAAATGTTTTTGCATTATGTGTATGAATAGATGTTTTTTTAAATGCATAGGAACTACTATATCTGCATGTTGTAAACTGAACACATTAATGTCAGATTGTGAGTAATCAGACAGTTGAAGGGATGTTTTGTTAGATGGTTGTGTATAACAGAATATATAATAGGTTTTGCTTTAAACTTATGTCTTGATTTATAGGGATGCTTACATATATATGTGTGTGTACATATACATGCACATATGTGTACTTGTGTGTATAAAACAAGTGTTTATTAAAAGTCATAGAGTATAAACTTTATTGGCCAATTAATCACTTGGCTTTAGTCTATTTTCTGTGGATTGTTTGAAGGTGGCTGATACAAGTTTTAGTTTATGAACTTCAGTTGCTGAAGGATATTGTGAGGCTGCTGGATATCTGGTGGATGAATGTTAGTTTACTTGATAACATCTCCATAGAATTTACTGATAGGCATGAATTTTATGAATACCAAACTGGTAGACAAATGTGAAAACACTTTGGTCAATTGAATTGCTATAACATGTCCATTAGGGATGTGTTTGGTTGATGGGGATTAAACTTAATTGGTTTTACATATAGAAGATAAATGTCACTTTATAAAACATTTTTTGGTTATGTAGTTTCCATTAATAGTTCTGGAAATATACTTTCTTGAAATATTGAAGGTAGAATCACTGATCATAGGCATAATAGAGTTCAATCTTCATGAGTTAGGGTTGATAATGAGGGGTATTTTTTTGTTCCTTTATGTGTTCTTAAACTAGGTATTCTTAGTGTAGAAATCATTGCTGATCATAATTTAAAACATGTAGACTTGTCATTTTTTCTTATTCCAATGTAATTTTTAGACATTAAATACAGGGAACAAAGCAGGGAAATATTTCACTGCTATGTGTATAATAGACAAGCTTCTTGTTATCTTAACATTGTGGTTATGTAGAAACTTCCTCTCTATACACCCCCCCCCCAAAACACAGTAAATATGTTCATGTTGAACTACGGTGAAAGATCTTCTACCAGTGGAAGTGTTACATGACCCCTGTGTGTTTTCACATGGTATGAATGGGGGTGGTGGTGGTTATTAGTTGTGTATATGAGATTAGATCTTTGTTTTTATATAATGTAACTTTGTAGATGTACAGAAATTTTATATTTTTTTAAATTTATTTTACCTAAAATTATAGCACACCTTTTTTTTTTAACTTGTAGAAATGAAATAGTACCCTCTGTATTATTGAGAGTGATTTTTTGGGCTACTACAGTTACCTTTAAAACACTTGCTCTTGCTCTTTCTAGTGTAGAGATGTTGCTTATATACATATACTTTTAAATGTCAGCAACTTGCTTTACCAGTGTAATAATTAGCTTTCTCCTCTGTATGTTCAGTGTTTTGTGAAATGCGGACCGGGTGGTGGATGTTTTCCTGATCTCATATCTATAATGTATGATTCTTTTGCTTTATATCTACTCATTGGTTTATAGAGATTGTAGACATGCATATGTTGTAATCATAAGAATTCTATATGGGGTGGCTATTGCATTTATAATTGTTGCTTTATAACATTTGACTGTAAATACATAGAATTGGTGATAAACAGAATGATAGGGGACAGAAACAGTTTTTTTTTTTTTTTATGTTAGTTCACCTTAGTGGAGCCTTTATTGGATTACTAGTATTACTAAGAGGAAATTATTTGAAAACTGAGTTAAAAGCCTCTTGGAGCTAATATTTTTGTTATTTGTATATATATATATAGGATAATGTTAGGAGTTAGAGTGGCTTTAATTTTTTTACGTCACATTTAGATTTAGAAGGAAAATTAGATTGTAATTATTAAATTGTCCGTTTTATATAAAAATACCTATGTCAAGGGATATGTACGTCATGTATTTATTTTCCCAGATATACTAAGGTTTATGATAAAATATCTAAATTTTATGCTATTACATCACAATAACCAAAACAACTTTGTAAATAACAGGCAAATGAAATTTTTACTTTTAAAACATCTAGTATTTCTAGATGTATTGAGAGTCTCACAAAGTATAATTTTGTAAATATTTCATTATAAATGTGTTAGTTCTGTTCTTCTAGAATTAGCGTAGCAATGAAATTGATCATTGATAGGCTCTTAGAGTTTTGTAAAATTTATCATATATTAATTTGGTTGTTAAGAGGAAAAATTGACAAGAATGTGCATATACCCCATTCTTCGATAGAAAAATAGTTTTGTTACTGTATAAAGCATGTAAATTCATTTCTTGTTCATGGATGTACCAGGCTTCCTGGTATATTTGTTTTGTATATTTTTTGCCAAGACTTTATTTTTTTAGAGCTGTTTTAGGTTCACAGTAAAATTGAGGGGAAGGTACAGATATTTCCCATATTTCTTCTGCCCCAACACATTCTTAATCTCCCCATTATCAACCCAACTCATAATCACCCCCATGATCAATATCTCACCCACCAGAGTGGTACATCTGTATAACTGATGAACCTACATTGACATAACACAATCACCCAAAGTCTGTAGTTCATGTGGGGGTTAATTCTTGGTGTTGTCTATTCATTCGGTTTGGATAAATGTATAATATAATGTACATTATTATGAGATCATACAGAGTATTTTAATTGCCAAAAAAGTTATCTGTGCTGCACCTATTCATCCCTTCACCTAAATGTTTTCTTTTTTTTTTCAATGGAAATATATATGACTTTGTTAGAGATGTTATACTACCTCTTGGAACAATACACAGTTCTGTATGTGTTCCCTTGGTTGCATGACAATATTCAAGACAACTTTGTAAATAATAGATACAAGTTTAAAATCTTTAACATCTAGTCTTTCTAGATGTATAGAGTCTCACAAAGTATAATTTTGTAAATAATTTGTCGTAAAACTTTATGGTTCCATTGTTTTGTTCAAATGCCTTAGCAGTGAAATAGAATGAAATTGTGGATTTCTGATCTATATATATTTTGATACTGAGTTGCTAGGGGGAAGGAGGAAACTTAGTATGAATTTCACTTTTGCATTTTCTTAAAAGAAAATTTTACATTTTAACCATTGGTTAGTCCTGTGTTACTATACATTATAAAAAATCTTGGTCAAAATTTTATGGTTGTATTGCTAATAGGGCATTATGTATTTTAATTATAGAAAATGTGTTTTATAAAAGACTTCTTTTTTAATTAAACAGTTCTGTATTTAATTGGGCAGCATGACAACATTCAAGACAATTTTGAAAGTAACAGATAAATACACCTTTTTAAAAAAAGTTTTCCTACATGTATGGAATTTTACTAAGCATAAATTCGTAACCATTTGGTTGTAAAATATAAATTGCATTTTGTAAGTGTTTTGGCAGTATAAATGCAATTAATAACTGGCCTCTTGAGGCTGTATAACATTTTGGTGTTCAGTGGGTTTTTGGAGAGAGGAATACGCGAAATGCTTCTCTATCTTCATATTGTTAGATTCTCATGTATAAGAAAAAATTTGAGTTGTATACTTAAAAAAAATACACCCCAGCGGGTATTTGGGATGTATTTTTATCTTCAGGAAGGAAGAGGAAGACAAGATGAGAACTGCCATTTGAAATCATAGATGCCTTCAAAGTATAAGATATTAACATAGCTAAAGAGTTCTTATTTTGCTCTGCTATATAAATCTGCTCTTTGCAAATTTATGTGTGTGCAGATACATGTATATCATATATGCACACTTACCCAAGTAAAATTAGTTTTAGGGCTATAGATCTGATAATGCATTTTTTTCTCATTAGGTTATAATACATTTTACTTATTTGAAAATTATAAAAGTATTTCAATTCTAAGCTTAAACATTCTAGAAACCCACTTCATGTTACATTCAAATGTATGTGGATTTTTATATAAAGTGTTTAAGCAACCTGTATCTGTTGTAGTCTGTTTCCATATATATATACATGTATATGATGATGGAATTCCTGTGTTTATGAGCTTTTTCTGTTTTTCTGAAAGCTTTTAAAAACGTTAATGCTGAAGTTATATTTGTATGTTTTGTGATAATCAGAAACAATGTTTCCTGACTATAATGTAAATTGTGAAAGTTTCTTGGAAAGATACTGTACAGAATTGGTCAAAGCATAAAGTCATTTGTTTTTGAACAACACTTTGACAGTATCAAAATGTGAGAGTGAATCTTTTGAAGTGATATAACTTGGGCTGGGGCTTTTTCCCAATTCTCAAATTTACAAAGTATCTTACAGATTGAGTGTAATAAATAATGGAATGTCTGAAATATACATCAATAAAATAAAGATTGTGATGATTATAGCTTATTCACGAATATAATTCAAATACTGGAAAAATATTCTGATTTCGAAACATACTTAATTGGTGCTTAGTGCTTTTGAACAAGTAACAACTGGTCATATTTCCAGAGGCATATACATGTGTCTCTAGTTTTTATAACCAAAATATTAATGGTTATTATTCCTTGAAAGTAGAATTATCCTGACATGATTATGGAGCTAAGTAATGCTTATTCATCAATGTTACTATAATGCTGATTATTATAGCAATCTTTTTTAAAATTGTGTACATGTGTAAGGTAAATAATATGTTGATTATATATTCATATATTGCTACATGACAATCTGAAACGCATATATGAATTATTGAATAGAAAGTTGGAAGAAAGCCCGGTGAAATTTGAACATTACTGTAGAGAGAGATGGGAATAGGAGGACTGTTTTTACTTTTCTGCATTTGAAATTTCAAATATTTCATAAAGAACATTTAAACAACAGAAGAAACTTTAAAGAAACAGCAACTTTGTGCCTGTCTTCATCCTTGCCTATTGACATCTTGGAGTATTGGACTGTTGTATCCAACTTTGTATTCCCAGTGACCATTATGAATAGTTTTTGATCAAGAAGAACATGATTAGAGACTAGTGCAGCAGTGACTTTTGCACAAAGAAATAAGAGTATTGGAATACCCAAGGAATGAAGGAGGGAGAGGATGGGATTTGAGGTAGGTGCTAAACAATTATATTTGGCTTGACAGAGAGTGATGAAAACAGTCATTTAAAGTTTTTATAAAGGATGACTTTTACTACCTGATGCCATATTTGTGGTTACTGACTAGATGAAGCTATTGGAGGAAGAGAGTAGAGTGCCGGGATACGTTGGAAGTTCCTGTTATGTGCATAATTGGAGAACGGATTGTTTGCTTCCTTTATGATATAATTGTTAGGAGGATTTCAGATAGGTCTAAGGGTTTCTTAGATTATTCAGAAATAGCATGGAAGAACATTTCAGTATTTCTTCCATGCATGCTAAAGATTATCTGAAAAGGTGAGAGTAAAAAATAAATGACCTCTTTGGGCAGTCATTGGCTGGTAGTTTATCTCCGTTGACTACTTGACCATTCTAAAGTCATCCTAATTTGTGTGTCTCAGTTTTGACTATATTGTTTATGTCTCAGGTGAACGTGATGAAGAAAAGATGCAGTTGCAGCAACCCTGAGGACAGCTGGCATCCTCAAAAACATTTCCTTAATTCATAAATCTTAATTGTGAACCACAGGTAAGGAGAGTCAGGATTAAGAGATGATATTTTAGGATGGGACTTGGGCTAGGCTGGGGAAAATTACAGTGGTGCAGACTTTGTTCTTGTAGGGTACCTTGGACTTTTCAACCATGCCTGAAAAAAATAGTGAGTTAATTATTTAAAAAGATAATTGTACCAAAGTAAAGATGTGGAAAGTATGCATGATGTCAGAAATCTTTCAGTTAATTTGCGTACTTAGAACTAAACATGGCAACATAATAAAAAAACATTATAAGGAAATGATCAATTGTCTAAGAATTTAAAAATTATAAAATAGACTGTATTTTTGGGAGTATAGTTTATAGTGTGATAAAAGGAGAGGTTCATGGAAAATGAAAAAAGGTGCTGATAGTGAAAAGTATTAATAGTAAAGTGATGACTGATGTTGGAGCTGAGTCAGATAAAGGATTGATTAATGAGGAATTGTTTCTAAGTATTATGAGAAATTTGAAACAGTTCAACATGAGCCTGCACTGAACTGCTGCTTCAGCCGTTTCATCACAGTGGTGTGTGTCTTAACTTACAGGAATGTTTCTTCTTTTTTTCCTGTCAGGAGATAATAGTTCCAAGAAAAGACACTTCTGCTGGCTTTGATTTTATCTGTTAACAGTATTACTCATTCAAGCGTTCTTCACTTCCATCTTTTGTCCTCGAAAACACCCCTTGGTGATACGATTGTAAGGATAGGTGAGTGCTTATTTGATTCAGAGAGGGGCATTTTGATTAGACAGGGGTTTTGATATTCTGCTTTTCTTAAGCTTAATGAATTTTTTATGGCATCTAGTGGATATTGCAATCTGTTCAGATTACATACTACTGAAGAATAAATTATCCAGGAACTTCATGGGATAAAACATCACTCATCATTATTGTGTTATTTCTATGAATTTTGTGGATGAAGATACCTGACACTGCCAGAATCTCTGTGAGGTCAACTGGGAAAACCCAGTGGTCCAAGGTGATTCAGACAGCCAGAGACTGGAATCATCTGGACACTTACTCACATATCTGGCATTTGGTTTGTTTTGACTTGTAACGTTGAACTTCCAGCTAGTATACCTCCACACAGGTTCCTAGAAGAAGAAGCATACAGATGAGTGTTAGAAGAGCACCTTGTGAAAGTGGCATGGCTTTTCTGATCCAAGTTAAGAAGTCACACAGCATCAGTTTTGTCATATTCTGTTGGCTAATGTGTCATGTGGCCAGCCCAAATTCTGTCAAGGCTTTCCATCTCCTGGTGGGAGAGCACCAAGGTGTGTGTAGGACCAGACAGAAAAAGGCACAGTAGTTAAAAACCACAGTTGTGAAGCTTTAGTAGTTCTTTTTTTTCCTTAAATTTTGGTGTCCTTTCACAATGATCCTATAAAATCATGTGCCTATCTTTGAGATCAATTGATTTTCAGAGTTCCACTTTTCACAGACTCTGAATTTCTTGCAGATAGTCTTCAACAAACACCTCATTTGATGACTTTGGGAGTAAATTAGGCTAAAGATAAAGAGTTGGAGGGAAAAAATGATGGAATTTTTGGATTATGTCAGTTTGAGAAATGTGAAAGGAGCCCAGGTGCACTGCAGTGACACTGAAGTGTACACTCAGAACTAAGAGTACAGCTCTTCAGGATGGGGCTATAGAGGGGATGGTTCTGAAGCCAGTGCTGTCAGAGCCGATAGGAATCCCTGCTTCTAATGCACCGGGAGCTGCCCCTTTGGAAGGTGAACTCGTGGGTAGCAATGCCAGGAGCAGAGGCTGACCCACTCCTTAAGCATTCTTTATTCTGTAGCCTTACTGCATACCTGTTCTCCACAGAATAACCGTGAATGGGAAGGCTTTGATCTGAAAATGTTTTTCTCTTAGTATAAATCATAGCCAAATAGAAGACAGATGATTTTTGTGGAGATTCCTACTTAGCAGTTTTGATGGCAGTGGGTCAGGAGCTAAATCTTTTCCTCAGCTCCATTGTAGTTTCTGTGTCTTCAGTACAATCACTGTTTTTCTTACCAAATGGGCTATTTTGTTATTTACATTGTGATGTTTAGGCACTGTTGTCATGGTCCTTGTACAGAAATGGATGTTGATTGAATGAAATCTGTATATGAATGAGTGATCTAGAAATACAAGTCACCAAATGAGGATAATGTTGGAAGGATCAGTCCTTCAGCAGGTGTAAGAAGAAAGAGGGCAAATATTTGGCCTTCTCACTGTTAGAAAATTCCAAAAGGAATTTTAACCTACCTGTTATGTCTTCATGGGAGAATAACTGTTGCATTTTACTTTTGTACATAAAAATTCTATGAATGGACAGTTCTCCAAAGAAGAAATTCAGATGGCCAGCAGGCACATGAAAAGATGCTCCACATTGCTAATCATCAGAGAAATGCAAATTAAAACCACAGTGAGATATCACCTCACACTAGTTACATTGGCTAGTATTGAAAAGACTAAGAACAACAAATGCTGGCGAGGATGTGGAGAAAGGGGAACCCTCCTACACTGCTGGTGGGAATGTAAGTTAGATCTACCATTGTAGAAAGCAGTATGGAGGTTCCTCAAAAAACTCAAAATAGAAATACCATTTGCCCCAGGAATTCCACTCCTAGGAATTTACCCTAAGAATGCAGCATCCCAGTTTGAAAAAGACATATGCACCCCTGTGTTTATCACAGCACTATTTACAATAGCCAAGAAAGGGAAACAACCTAAGTATCCATCAGTAGATGAATGGATAAAGAAGATGTGGTACATATACACAATGGAATATTATTCAGCCATAAGAAGAAAACAAATCCTACCATTTGCAAGAACATGGATGGAGCTAGAGGGTATTATGCTCAGTGAAATAAGCCAGGCTGAGAAAGACACGTATCAAATGATTTAACTCATATGTGGAGTATAAGAACAAAGAAAAAACTGAAGGGACAAATCAGCAGCAGAATCATAGAACCCAAGAATGAACTAACAGTTACCAAATGGAAAGGGACTGGGGAGGGTGGGTGGGGAGGGAGGGATAAGGGGGGAAAAGGGGCATTAGGATTAGCACACGTAATGTAGTGGAGGGGAGCATGGAGAAGGCAGTACAAAACAGAAGACAAGTAATGATTTTATAGCCTCTTACTATGCTCATGGACAGTGACTAATGAGGTATGTGGTGGGGACTTGATAATGGGAGGAGTCTAGTAACCATAATGTTGCCATGTAGTTGTACATTAATGATACCAAAATTAAAAAAAATTCGCCCCTCTTGATGATCTCGTAAAGGGTGCTTCTAACATTTTCCCATTTTTCCCACTGTGTCTGTCCTCTCAGGTGATGACTGAATAGGAAACTGATGCCATTCATTATTTCTGCTACTATCTTTAAAACCAAGATGGTCTTCAAAATGTATGGAGACTCCTCTTTCATTTGCTCAGTGGACACTCCTTGCAGATCAGAAAAACTGGACTGAGAAAGCTGATGTACGAAATTGACATAAAGGTTGTCATTGGAGAAAATTTAACCAGGCATGTTAAGTGTTTTATTGTTGCATTAGACTAAATATCAGGTGCTTGAATGGTGATGATTTATGTCAGGATGGTGTAATTGCAAGGCTTCATTTCAGTGTTCCCATAAGTATATATATTTACATATTTAAAATGGTTTATAAAAATACCATCTTTTCAAGATTTAGAGAGACATAAGAATTTCTGAAGCATAGTTTTACTTAAATGCCTTTTTCTTCTAATCCTATTCCCCCAAATTATCTACACTATTGGAATTTTTGTGCACATCCTTTTGGTGTGTTAGTGAACTGATGTGCAAGTAGTTATTTTTGGCCTATAAGATAGAAATTTCTATTCAGTGAACATGCTTATATCTTAATTACTTTGAATTTGTCCAACTGATTTGTTGAAATTACTCCAGTGAATTGGAACTGCCAGGACTAAGGATATCCAAAATTTATATTTTGAGTCAAAACTACAGGTTTCTCTCTTACTCGTAAAAATGGTTCTCATCAGTCTTGTCTCCCAGTGTTTATGAGAGTTCTGTTTCTTAAAACAGTGGAAATAATTAGATACCAGTGTTTTATTCTTTGACAATGTTACAAAGAAACAGCTTTATTTCTGTTATTGTTCAGCTTACTCATTTTCATATATTCTTAATCCTTACTAGTCATTTGCCACATTTCATTTTCCTGTTTTGTTATTTTTGGTTACTCTTGCAATATTACTGTCTTGGTTACTGGTTTCTAGGAACTTTTTAACTTTGAATGTCAACTATTTGTCATGCATTACAAATGAAATACCATGTTTTTGCTATCATTTTACTCTGTGTTTTATTTTTGGTTGTACAGAAGTTATGTATTAAAATACAGTCATGATTTGTTTCATGCCTATTGAGTTTTGTATTTTTCTTCAAAAAAGGTAAAATACGTTTGTCTGTATTTTCTTCTATTTTTCATCAATTATTTTGTCATTTACTTTTTCCATTAATCATCTCTGATTTTAAAGCATTAAAGCATTACATTTTCAATTTACTCACCATGACTTAAGCAGTTACCACTTAATTTTAAATTCTACCATAATACAGAAATTTCCACATATAAAGGGCTGCATTTCAATTTATTTGTTCACTTTACCTTTTATTGATACGTTAAAATTACTGATGCTTTTTAGTCTTATCTATTCCATTTGGTTCTATTTCATTTCTCTTTTTTTTCAGAATATTCCCTGTTTATACTTGCATTTTTTCTCTCAATTGATGCTTAGAATTATGTTTCAAGTTGGAAAAAAAATGCTGTTTTAATTTCCTTTGCACCAAATTTAATAAATTAATTAGGAGAGAATAGATCTCTTTAAAACTGAGTCTTCTTATCCAACTGCCAGGTATGTCTTCCCATATGTCTTCCCATTTTTGATGAAATTGTTCATGGTCAGATATTATCAGTATACTTAAAAAAAGTCATTCCCAGGCATTTCATAGTTTTGGTTAATATAATGATAGGTAATACACTTCATTTTTTATTGATATATGAAAGCCATTTGTATACTTTTCTAATGACATTTAATTGAAATTACAAAATTGTGGTTTCTTATGTAAAAATTTGTAGTCAGTTCTAGAATATATGCAATCAATACCCTAGGTTATTTGACTGTTATATAATCCTATTAAAAGTTTTCACTTTCTTACAGGTCATTTAGGAAACTTCTTTTTACTAAGGATTTTTCACCAAATTCAGTGACAGGATTAATAAAATATTTTGTGAATTACAGTTAATCATATTTGCCATTATAATTATTGATTAGAGTAAAACTTTAAAAAATATGAACATTGTTACATCTAGTAACAATGGACTAAATGGATGGATGGACTAAATTTTGTATTTTTACTCCCCTATTATAATTGTTTAAATTTTATTTGCAGTTTCTCAAAAGATAAAACAGTTTTATTGTTCTGTTTTTATCTGGGTTGTGCATTTGGTGTACTGGCTCTACTGTTCCGAGTATTTTTGGTATAGGCTGCAAATAAGTATTAGCAGTATTGCATTAATTTTTATTTTGAAATAATTTTTGGCTTTCTAAAAATGTTTTAAAAGTTAAAGAGAGTTTATATATTCTCTACTCTCCCCTCTCATCACACTTACCTAAACAAGGAAATTACTATTGACATACTGCTGTTAACTTATCCTTTTATAAGTCCATCATTTACTTTTTTATTGGAATATACATAACAGTATTATAATGGTTTTAGATGTATAAAATAGTGATTTGACAATTACATACATTACTAAATGCTCACCACAGTAAGTATAGGTACCATCTCTCAACATAGTAACAAATTATAATATTACTGGCAATATTTCCTGTGCTATACTTTTACCCCTGAAACTATTTTATAATTTAATGTTTGTATACTTTATCCCCTTTACCTATTTTGTCCCTCCCCATATGCAACCACCTATCTGTTCTCTGTGTTTGAGTCTATTTCTGTTGTTTTTGTTCATTTGTTTTTGAGACTCAACACATTAGTGAAATCATATGGCATTCATCTTTATCTGTCTGACTTAATTCACTTAGCATAATACCCTCTAGCTCCATCCATGTTGTCTCATATGGCAAGGTCTCATTCTTTTTAATGGCTGAGTAATATTCCATTACATACATGTATCACTCATCTTTATCCATTACTGATGAATGCTTAAGTTTCTTTTATATCTTGGCTGTTGTAAATAATGTTGTAATAATTACAGGAGCATATATATTTTTTGAATTAGTGATTATATTTTCTTCAGATAAATTCCCAGAAGTGGAATTACTGAGTCATAGTATTTGTATTCAATTTTTAGAGGAACTGCTATACTGTTTTCCATAAGTGGCTGCACCATTTTACATTTCCATTAATAGTGTATGAGGGTTACCATTTCTCCATATCTTTGCCAACACATTTGTTGTTTTCATGATACAAATGTGAGTTGATATCTCATTATGGATTTGATTTGCATTTCTAATAAGTCTGTCATTTACCTCACATTGCACATTTGAACTGCATAGAATTTTTTCAATACATTGGGAAACATTTGCAACAATTTGAGAAAACATTTTCCTTAGCTTGTTTTATTGTATGAATGCAGTATATAACAGAACATATGTGTTAATTGACTTTATTATTAAGGCTACCAGTCAACACATAGCAATCAGTATTTGGTTTTTGAGCAGTTGAAACTTGTGCCACATTTCACCACTCAGGTCTCTCTTAAGATTGGTCTCTGTGTTTTCAGTGTGTCATTGTCCTTCCCTGAGCACTTTACTTGGTTTTTGACCACATGGAAGTGTCCAGGTCCTTACTTGCTCCAACTGTGGAACCAGCCATATCTCAAAGGTTCTATCTTTGCCTATAGGGAATAATACTTATCAGGGTATGTATCAGAACTTTGTTTCTATTTATGGCCAAATAATAACCCATTGTATGATATACATGCCCCATTTTATCTGATGGTGAGCACTTGGGTGTTTACACTTTTTGACTTTGTGAATCTTATAGATATCGGGCTCTGCACATGTGAATAGTGCTTCTATGAACATTGATGTCCTAGTGCTGGAGTTCCTATTTTCATGTCATCTGTCATACATGCCTTGGAATAAAATTGGTAGAAGTCATGGTAATGTTGAGGAACCATCTATTCTCATGAAAAGTTTTATAAACATAGATGATGAGATAATGAACCTTCATATATATTATCTAACTACAACTTAATAATTACCAATATTTTGCCCATGTTTTGAAAACTAAAAATACATACACCTACTACTATTAACTAAATACTTTAACATCTTTTAAAATAATTCTTCACTAAATTTATTGTTTCAAACAGTTTGAACAAATCTGGATCCAAGCTGGAACCATGCATGTTTATTCTAGGCTGTTTTTATCTTAGTCTTGGCTATTAATTTATTCTCATTCTTAAATATCTTAATATAGGAAATGTCCATTTTTTGTTTTATATATGTGTGTGTGTGTGTGTGAAGTATTTTTAAAGCATTTTGTAACTTGGCAGGGATTTAATTTTCATGTGCATTATCTTGCTGATTTTACCCACTATTTCTAGTGATTTGAATGCAATTTGGAGTGCTAATATGAGCCGGATTATTTCTACCTTGTGATTTTTCTATTGTCTCTGTCTTTTTCTGTCATCTGTATGTACATTTACATAAATTATAAACTATATAAAATCATTCATATAGACTATAACAAAAGTATAGCTCATAATTGTAAATATTTTATGGGTACTTGGAAAGTTGCATTATCTCCAAGGTACAGAGCTGTATATCTAAGTAATTGTTACCTTGGAGGAAAGGGAACCCTCCTACATTGTTGGTGGGGATGTAAATGGGTACAGCTGTTATGGAAAGCAGTATGGAGGTTCACCAAAAAAACTGAAAATAGAAATACCATTCAACCCAGTAACTCCACTTCTAGGAATTGACAGAAAATAGACAAAATCTCTGATTGAAAATGACATGTACCCCTATATATACTGCAGCATTGTTTACAATAGCCAAGATACAGAAGCAATCAAAGTGTCCATTGATAGATGAATGGATAAGAATGTGTGGAATACATGATGTCATATTTTTCAGCCATAAAAAACGTCCTGCAATTTGTGACAACATGAACCTAGAGGTTATTATGGCTAAGTGACCTAAGCCAGGCAAAGAAAGACATACAATATGATTCACCTATGTGTGGAATTGAAAATGTAGAAAATAGCAGTAGACTCATAGACACTTATAAGTGATTGGTTACCATGTGGGGAAGGGTTGGTAGGTGGGTGAAATAAGGGGATAAAGAGGCACACAGTCTGAATCATAAGTCATGGGGATGAAAGTACAGCATAGAGAATAGAGTCAGTAGTTCTGTAACATCTTTCTGTGTTGACAGTTACTACTTGGGGTGGGCATTTAATATATTTAACTGTTGAATCACTATTTTATATACTTTAAACCAATATAATACTGTATATCAACTACCAATAAAATAAAAATGCAACTATAAAATAATTTTCATCAAACTAATTTCTTAATTCAAAACAATGTAGGCTGAATCATTCTCTTTACTTACAGAATAATTTGATGTCCTATTAGTCTCTAAAGGTCATTAATATAAATTCATGTACTATATAGTCCACAGATAGCAAGAACTGAGAAAAGCAAACAAACTTTATTATTTAACAGTTGTATTACAAATACAATAGTATTGCAATTATGAAACCAATGCATATACAGAGAATAAAACTATTTTAAGTGTTCTCATTCTTCCAGTTTATTCACATGTATATTCAACTTATACACTAGTACAGCTTGTAGTTAGGATATTTTTCTCTCAGCCTTTATAAAATTCATTTTATTCCATTCATATATATATAGCAAATAATGTTTTTTTAGGTTTTATATATCTTATTTACTATTTTGTGTTTCATTGTTACCATTTGTTAACCCTATTTTTACTGCATTGTTTTAGAAGAATGAACTTTTTCCTATAGTTTGGTTCATATCTTTTAAAATAGTCTTAGGTATATATTCAGATTTTGAACAATTTGTGAATGCTATTTTTGATATTTTGTTTGAAGGTAATAACATTCCATCTTCTATGTAAATATTAGTAATCAAAGAATGTTGTTTTAACAGTCAACATTGAGTACATAAATTTAAGTGCCAGGCTCTGTTAGTTTTACACACTTTGTTTTATAGCTTTGTAGGTCCCTTATGAGATAGGTAATTTTATTCCTTTTATAGATGTGTCTGTTTCCTTACGAGGGAAATGAGGACAATGTGTTTCTCAAAGAATTTCTGAGTGTAAAGTGAGTAAAACACAAATAGCTAAGAATAGGTCGTCTGGCTCATCACAGTACTCTTTCCTGGCTGTAGTAATACTGGTGGTAACAGAAGTGATAATGGTGTTGGCAAGTTATTCAGGAAGGATCTCTGAACCTTGGTGTATTTCCTTTTAATTTCCATGTCTAACTTTAATGCAGTGGTGCCCTGTAGTCATATAACAATGGACAGAAAATATGGAGGCACATTCATATTATTCTTTATCTTATAAATTTGTTTTTACTGAAGTATAGTTGATTACAGTATTACATTGGCTTCACATATTCAGCATAGTTTTCAGCAGTTAATATACATTATTAAATGTTTGCCCCAACTAGTGCAGTTACCATCTGTCAACAGAGAAGGGTGTTCCAAAACTATTGACTATATTCTCTATACTGTACTTTCATCCCTGTGACTAAAGTATTATGCTTGAGATTTTCTGCCTCTTTGTTTAGCTTTGAAAATAAGTAACAGTGCCATCTCTTTGCTTATTTTTCCCCTCTCTCCCTACC